CTTGCCTTGCCTTGCCTTGCCTTGCCTTGCCTTGCCTTGCCTTGCCTTGCCTTGCCTTGCCTTGCCTTGCCTTGCCTTGCCTTGCCTTGCCTTGCCTTGCCTTGCCTTGCCTTGCCTTGCCTTGCCTTGCCTTGCCTTGCCTTGCCTTGCCTTGCCTTGCCTTGCCTTGCCTTGCCTTGCCTTGCCTTGCCTTGCCTTGCCTTGCCTTGCCTTGCCTTAAACAAATTATCACAGTTTCCACAAAAGATGATTTCTGAAGGATCATGTGACACTGAAGACCAGAGTAATGGCTACTGATAATTCGGCTTTGCCATCACAGGAATAAATTACATTTTAAAATATATTTTAAAAGAAAACAGTTATTTTAAATAGTAATAATATTGCACAATGTTACTGTTTTTACTGTATTTTTGATCAAACAAATGCAGCCTTGGTGAGCATATATTAGGTAGACACATGTTCTGACTGTTTTAAATGCGATGGAAATCTACAAAAATGCTGTTTATTGCTTGAGTTCACGGTTTCAAATGTGATAACAGCCTTACAGACCCGCTAGTTGCAGCAATTATGTACTGCTTCTTTAGAAACAGTAGGGCACCGTGATATGAATCCAGAAAATAAAAATAAAATCTAAGCGTGGGGGGGATGTGAGGTTCTTCAGATCTGAGGTTCTATTCAAAAGATGACATCATAAGTATGAAGCTACAATGGGAATCGACATTAATTTGATGTCCTGCTGTTAAAAAATGATCTGGTTTATAAAAGCATGACAAATCCAGTTACAACATGAGAAACTCTTGAGTGCTCAAATGAGACAAAGATGAGTCAACGCTGCATTCTTCTGCAGCGCTTAAAGGAAGTCTTATTGATTAGATGCCATGGAAAGCTGCATCTAACCTTTCAATTATCACAGTGGTGAGAGTGCGAGACAGACGTCTCAAATGCACAACAGTCAAACATGGTGTGAGAGAAAACAAGCTGCAGTCAGGAGACAAGTTGGGATTGAGATGTCCGTAAGGAAAATGTTACATAATAGGAAGTGTCAGCTTATAGGAAAAATCATTTGGAAGTGTTCACTATATGCAGTTATGAGCACTGTGAATGGCAAGACAGGCAATGTGATTTCAAATTAAGCTTGACATGACTGGGTGGTTCCACAGTTGCTCGGTTTCAAAACCTAGTTAGCTCCCTATGGAGGGAGCATAGACACGCTCCCAACACAAAGGCTGTTATTAAAGGTAAGAATCCTAATTTAGACAAACTAAGATAGCAAATTCTAAGCAACATCGCATTTATCCTTCATTGAGAAGCCAATATGAAACATGCTTAGAGAAAAAAAATCAATATAAAAAATACAAGATGGTGACTAGGCAAAAAATATAGATTATACATAAGAGATTTTTTATTTAGTACTAAATTGAATCAATAAAAAAAACTCATTAAAAGTATGAATCTACACAATATTTAGTGTTCTGTAGAGTTCTGTTTGTTTTTATGCTTATTATTATTATTATTATTTATCATCATCATTATATTTATTATTATAATAAGCCTGTTTTATTTCAAAAACCACTACTTTTTTATATATATATTTCATTATGAGTGACATTTTTATGCTTAACTGACTGTTAGCTTAGCAACATGCTAACACCAAACTATCAAAAATCAGTTGTGAGTTGAGCTGTTTGTGTTGCTGCCTATGTGGAGCTTTCTAATTTACGAGATTCCTCACAAAGCTCCCTAGGTTTTGGAACAGAGCCAATGTGATGTAATGTTCTAAAGCATCAAGTGTATTGTGATTGGTTGATCTCACATAATTTTCAATCACAGAAAATCCCAAACAGCAGTAAGATGATGCTCACCGGTTCATGATGTGGTTTTGTCTCTGTTGTTAAAGGAGGGTCAAACTTCACCTGACCGACTGTAAGAAAACAAAAACATTATTAAAGGAACAGTCCTACTTTTTCTTTATTGCACAGAAATAAATCAGCACATGGGTTTGTAATGACATGAGGGTGAGTAAATACTGACAAAATATTCATTTTTGGGCAAACTACCTTTTGATTTAAACAATCAGTCAGTTCACTGATATAACTGGTGTTTGAAGGCTGAATTTTAAGTAATCATGTTGGCATGTTCACTCAAAACCACACATTTCTTTAAGTCAGCATACATATCTGGAAGGTATGATACAGAATCTAAACCCCACCCCCCAGCAGATACTGACAGACAGATCATGAGAGAGAATTTCTGGTATCCTGTGAAATTCACTCAGCCATGCTCAGGAGAGCGGGAGCACCTGTCAGGTTTGCCCAGGGGAGAAATCCAACAAACACTCACAGTTAATCTCTGACAGAGTCTTCCCTTCCCGACTGGTACGGCTTGCTGAGCGAATCCGATGTGGAACAGACACTGGAGGCTAGGGAGAAAAAGAATCACACACACGCGCACACGCGCACACACACACACACACACACACACACAGAGTACAAATAAATACAAACCAGTAAATAACAAAGTCTATAAGAACAGTTAGTCTCCAAGTCATTTAGAGTACCAATGAGGTTTAGGGGTAATTTGCCGTTTACGTGCTTAAATGAAGTCCTACATAGTGGTAGTTTGGTAAATCTCACATGAAATGCTTGAGTCAAAAAAAAAAATATATATATTATTATTATTCCAATATTTTTACAACAGTAATGCATTGCAATGAAAATTATCCTGTTCATTCAAAATGTTATTTTATAAAATAAACAAATATGCATTTTTTTTTTATTATACTTGGCCTGATTAATTTAAAGGACCATCACATTTTTTCATTATTTTTAAGACAATAATGTACACGAAATTATATATATTTTTTAATTCACAATGATAATTATCAATTGACAATGTTAATGATCCTTAAAATATGCTAAATATAATTTCTTATTTTTCTGTTTTGATTTTGGATGAATACATAACCCTGACATGTACTGATTGGTTTTCACTCAGTTCACCCTTGAATCTGTCAATTTTGATTGGATATTATATTAAATGTATTATAACTTTTAATTGCAGCAATTTTGGGTACGCCTCATTTGCCAATGCATTATGCAGGTCATCGGGTCACACTGCTCTCTAAATATCAGCGTTGGTTACTGGAAAACCCCAGGATCGGTCGATCACTTTTATATGTAAACAACATTAAACCAAAAAACTCAAGATTGTAGCTGTGCTCAATCGATAGCTTGCATATTAGTGCGCCATTCTTAGCAGATCAGAGGCCCAGTTGAGATAAAAACAACCCCTCAGCAAAATCAGCACCCATCAATACATTTAAGACAAGAGCGGCTTAAATGCTTACACTTCAGATATCACTTAGTGCCATCGCCAGAGACTCAGTGGAGGGCAAACTCTGGAAGCTAAAAATACATGCCAGGCATCACTTTCTGATAACAGCAGGGGTCATGATGCTGACCCTCTGAATCCCTATCTGTCTGATGCTGCTGTCCTGTCTCACTGCAGCCTAAGAGAAAATCATTACGGCCTACTGGGCGTCCGACAGCTGGGTCCCTGATGACTACGGTGAGAAGTTTGCTGTCATTTACGAATCAGAGAACACCTTCCATCAGCAACATACACACACACAAGCACAGATGCACATATGCCTGTGGATATGGAAACGCGTGCAAAAGCACCACACATAAACACACGCAGACATGTGAATCCTGAACAGGTCCAGGAAGCAAAATGGTCGCTGAAGGACATCCTTCACTTCAGTTTCAAAGCTGCAGAGCTAAAGTAGATGTGATGAGGAGAGATAAGACAGAAGAACAGACGCACGACCTTCAGACAACAAGGACACAGCAGGGCTCTGAGATAGAAATAGACAGCATGCCAAGCACTGCGCCCTTCTCTCAGCGGACGCCTGTGAATATTCTATCACACCTCTTAGCACTTGGGTCACATGGTACAGTCACTAAAAGATATTATTTATGCTTTCCAAAAAAGATACACAAGTATATAAATCTGGAATATTAACTTTATAAATAAATTAAAAAACAGTCAAGAACATGTTTGGGTTATATTTCAATTAAACCAAAAACATTAAAAAAAAAAAATGTATAAAAAATATACATTTTTATAATGTATAGGGCTAAAATTTCAACTGTGAAGTATTTTTTTATTTGTTTGCTTATTTGTTCTTTAATTTAGGCTGATTTTAAATTATTGTGATTTACAAAAAAATACTGTGTCCAGACATGATTCTTATTAATATATTACAAAATGAGAATGTTCTATGAAAATAACAAGAATTATAAACTCGAAGGTGGTCCTAAAAATAAACTTTAAATCGTTATACATTATATAAAATGTAATTGCTTATATTTAAATATGACCTTGACATTGCCTTGACAGGTTTCAAAAGAAAATCAAAGGGGAAAAAAAGAACATACAAATTAACAAAAATTAAATAAAAAAAATGAACAACTAAAATTAACATATATAATCTATATATATAATATTTCAATTTCAGTCAGTATTTAAAAAGTATTTATATTATATTTATTTTTGTTGTATTGTCATTACCTTTAGCTGATTTAAATGAGTGATTTTTTATTTTAGTGACTACACATAATTCATCAGTATTTTACAAAATGAGATTCAATGAAAATAATGAGAATTACAAACAAACTCAAAAATAAAACAATAATAAAAAATCTAAAAAACAATTGGTCTATAAATAAATCAACTTCAATTTCATTGTGAAAAATGTCATTTATTATAATTTTCTTTATATTTATGGATTAAATACGACCTTGACATGCTCTTGACAGGTTTTCACGAGATTCACCCCAATATTGAACATTATTTGCATTCAATGACGCATTTTCTAAAAGCTCTTTGATGCTGATGTTCTGTTAAACCCTTGAAGCAAACCTCAGCACAAAGAGGCCAGACAAAAATCTGTTGTCAACGGATCCAAATCTGGCTTTTGAACTGAGCTTCCGTTTCCGAAAACGACCCCTTGAGGGATCAATACTCCGATCAAAAATCTGACAAGAGTGCAAAACTTCCTAAAACATCCTTGGGCATACCTGCGTAACACACACACACAAATTTGACCTCACAACTACTTGAGCAAACAAGAAAACACACGTCATGCACAAACATGTTTGTCTAGGTTATAAACACTTCTGAACAAAAATGATAAAAAGAGAGAAAATAAATGAACACAACACTCATAACACCAAATCATAATGTAGTCATCACCACTAAATTAACACTTATTAATCAAAACATTTCCAGATGTTCACACACACACACACGCACACCCCTGATACCTTTCTGCGAGCTGCAAAGCGAAGGACTCGCCGGGAGAGAGGAGAGACTGGTAAAAACAACCCTCTGTATTTAAACTTCAAGAGCAGGAGAGGGGGAAAACGAATAAGAGAGGAAGTGAGAATGAATGGATGCTTTGGGAAATGGGTAGAACAGGGAGAGTTGAAATGAAGGAAAACTACGTCCTTTAATAACTCTTCATTCTCGCTGGGGAACTGTGAAAGATTTCACAAATCTTTATCAGCAGAAGTAGCCCTGCAGCACAACCGGATGAGATGCCGGCGTATAAACTTTAGAGACAATCGAAACGAATGACTGCCATTAAAACAGCTATTACAGGCTAATAATGAAGAAAGTAAGCTATTGAAAAATATCACCTCACAATAAAAGGGTCGACATACTGAATATATGAACTCATGGGGCTCGTTAAACTGACATCCCGGCTCGTAGCTGCCGTTTTCTGGGCTCTGTTTGTGAATAATAGTCCCGAAGGGGCTGTCATTCTTGAAGTGATATCGGTGATAACACTGAGAATCACACAGGGAGATATACTGTACCTCCGGCTCTGGGTCGTCATCATCCAGGTCTGTGTAGGACGAGCTGTCAGGGTTGTTCACTTTATCCAGCAGCTCAATCGCCAAAATACGACTTAACGGTTGGGATACAAAGGGATGCTAGGGAGGAGATGGTTGAAATGGCAATGTTAGATGTTCTTTAAATGTATGTCATTTGTCAGTAAAGAGTCTTGAAATATATATAAAAAAATAAAATTATAAATTATAAAATGTATAAAATTATACTTTTGCCTTAAATAATAAAAAAATAATAATTATATTTATATATATACACACACATACATATATATATATATATATATATATATAATAAATAAAAATACATAATAAATAATAAACAAAATATAACAAATGTAATACAAAACATTTCAAATTAAAAGCATTATATGAAATTATGTAAAAATAAAAGCCTTAATAAAATGTTATGCATTTGATATTATAATAATTACAAATATTTTATATCATTATAAAATATAATTGATTATAAAATAAATAAACGTACTTCAAAATCAAAACCAATAATATTATATAAAATCACAAAAGCAAACACTATGAACCTAAAAATTACAAGATGCAAAAAAGCCCCTCCTACCTGCAATAACTTGTCAGCTGGTGGCCGTTTCTTTGGATTTTTCGTCAAAGCCAACTTCACAAAATTGTGGAAATTGTTCGTCCTTCAGAACATAGAGAAGAGTCTCCATAAATCTCACATGTAAGGAGCATTTCGACCGTGAGGACGTGCAGTTTGGTAGCTCTAAATGTAATTAAGCTAATTTGATTGAACTGAGCTGCAAGGTAATGGAGAAGAAACTACTCTGCAGACGACCTGACCAGATTCATAATCAGACAAGATAAGAGAATGACCTTATCAAAACTCATAAAAGCAACTGTTTAGGGCAAATGAGAGTGCTTGGCCCAAATTTCATAGGTGATTAATGAAATTAAGGAATCAGGCATATAAACCACAGAATGAAACTGAAATCCCTGTTGGTATCAAGGATTTTATACACCCAGGTATCCTAATAATTGCCTGAAAATGTAATTATCACTTACCATTTAACTTTGTCTTTTAATTTGGGGGGTTGAAAGTTGCTTTTCGTCATCAAAAACAGAGCCCTGGAGGGACAAAAATGGGTTGGTATTGGCACAAGCAAACAAAAGTTTTGCAATGAAATATGGTAAATTAAAACATTTTAACTTATTGAAACATTGATATAGTTTCACTGCCCAGTGTTCTATGATTGATACAGTAGCTGGAGTTGGGAGGTCTTATCCTGAAGTAGATTCATTTTGTAAAATTATTATAAATAAGAGAATGCTGAAAACAACTGTTTTCCCGAACACTCATTGGTTGAGTCAAATGAGAGAGTGTGGAAATATTATCAACTAAAACAGACCTGTGGTAAAGCTCAAAATACCATTGTATTTACTGTCATCACTATACCTTTTTTTTTTTAAAGGATAAAGCTAAAAATTCATCACTCTCTGAATTGGAACAGATCCATACTGCTGTTTAAACCCTCACCTCATTGGATGAAGGTCAAACATGGGAGGTTGCAGTTCAGCTAGTTCAATGGCGGTGATGCCCACAGCCCAGATGTCACACAGGTGATTGTATCCTCCTTTCCTCTCCACGGCGGCCACCTCTGGGGCCATCCTGTTAGTGTGGGTTACAGACCATAACATCACTCATTCATGAACATATCCTCCTACCTGATGGTTATGTAAGATGTGAAAAATGCATCTGTGGCCTTGTAGAAAACTGCTGAATTATAAAAGATTATGTTTTTGTTTTTTTTAAACACCACAACAGCAAAATCATTTTGGGTAGTTGACAAATAACATGGGACTTTTTTAATATTCAACATCAGGATATGAGGTTAAAATTTATATTACTGTATAACGTAAAGAATTTACAACTAGTAACTTTTTTTGTCAATTGACTATTTTAAATACCCTTTTGTTGTTGTTTTGGTTATTTAAACAGTCCTTCAGTGTGAAAAATTTCAGTTTTAAAAAGAAAAAATACTCCAAAAAATGGAGGTCACAGAAACTGCATTCATAATAATTATAAAGAACGATGCATTTTTATTATAAATAATGTATTGCATTCATGTATGATTGTAAGGTGTGCTTGTGGCACAATAAAGCTAGAAAAAAACTGCTGTATACCAATAAGGAGTCCCGATGAAGGATTTTCTTTTAGCTAGTGTTGCTGTGATCTGTGCAGATACACCAAAATCAGCTGCAGAGGAAAAGAAACAAAAGATCTTTACTACAATCCCACAAACAGCTCTCATATGAGTGTACAGCTGACACTACCATGCGTATTATTCTGGCTTATGAATTATGAAATTTGAGACTTGTCTAATGCCACAGCAGATCAAATGTGACAACATGAGGTGGTATTCTCAGTCACCAAAACACCATTTACACTGTTTTACTGATTTGAGTTGGTAACATGGTAATTAACCTTATTTTTACCGGATTAAAACTGAACAAAACAGAAAGTCTGTTATCTTCTTACCTAGCTTGATGTAACCATTGTCCGTCAATAAAATATTGGCACCCTATTTCAAATAAAAAAACAACATCAAATGAAATGACACTGTAATATAAGAGTAGAACAACTATTATTATAAGACATTATTGAATGTATTAGGCCTACTGGTAAATTTGTGAGATGAAATGTAAAAATGAATCTGACAGACTTCAGAATCTCCTTTTTCCCCCTATAAAATCGCTTTTTCAACAACTGCTTTCATGTATGATCTGAGATGTGAAAGCACCATCCGAGTCATACTAATTACACATCCCTCTGGCAAGAAAACACATTTTCTCTTGCTTTACCCGTGATTTGGCTTTAGCTTCACCAAATCACCATCAAGGGTATTTTGTAAACAGCTAAGGTAAGGCCCCGATATACTTCAAACGAAATCGAAGAACGAACTGATATGTCATTTCGAACAAAATCAGGCCGAAACGAAGTTCGTTTTGAGTTCGTTTCGGCAGTTCGAAACAGCTGACCAAAGCGAACTTTCTGGGGGAGTTCGTTTTGGCTCCTAAACACCTTTGAGCTTGCATTGGTCCATGGCGGTTACGCAATCGGTGGGTGTGTTCTGAAACTCCACCTTCTTTGATGTGCGATTTTTTCCCCCGGTTCGTTTCTCATTCCACGGAGGTCCGATAGGAGAACAACATCTCCTAGTCACTAGCAACATGAACACACTGGAGTGTCGAATAGCTCAGCTGGCACAAATATATCCGCACCTGTACGATCGCTCGCGGAGAGACTTTAAAGATTCAGAGAAAGCATTTAATTCCTAGAAAGAAATTGCAACGGAGCTTGATGTCGACGACCTGGAGTTATGCAAAAAGCGACGTAGAGAAACATCCGAGACAAGTTTTCCAAAGCCATGAAAAGAATGAAAGGAAAGAGTAAAGATATAAGGTAGCAAGTACCAAATACATGTGTTTCAAATAAATGTTACACCATACTGCTGCTGCTGTTGTTGTTCTTTCAATAAGCGAATTTAAAGGGTATACATTAGCGGTCGACCGATATGGGTTTTTTGATAGCCGATACCGATGCCGATATCTTGGAAAGCAGGGTGGTCGATGGCCGATATAAAGCCGATATAATTTTATTTATTTTAATTCATATTTAAGAAATTTGAAATCATTTGAAAATGGATTAAAAAATAAACATGTAAAATAAACATATTTATACTCTAGAAGACAAAGTATTTTTCACAAATAAATATTTAATACAAATATAATTAAAAAGGATGTAAACACTGTAACCAACAGGGCACTCAGTATTCTGGGAAGTTTGTGTGCATTGGAAATCATATTTTTTCAAATAAAGCCAAGGTAACACTTATTGTACATACGTTTGTGTGCATTGGAAATCATATTTTTTCAAATAAAGCCAAGGTAACACTTATTTTACATACAGCACACAGTGAAAATGGCATGAATATGACAGTGGGCAAATGCATAAAGCGCAGCATAATTTGAAATCAGTCACAAGTTTAAAGTTTGTCGATCGCGCGTCTCCAGTGAAGCTGAATTTTCCACCTGTCCGCATTCAATTCGCACGGACCATAGAACCGACTGTCACAGAACACGCGATCATGCAGGTCACATGCACACTTCACAAGATCTCGACTAGATTCGACTAAGTCTGCAAGGTTTGTGAAATTAAATGTTCATTAGTCATTCAAAGATTTGTTTAAATTATATAAATGCGTATTTGCGGAATGCTGATGGCAAAGTTCAGAAACAGTATACCGTCGCTCAGCCTTTTCGAACATCTATTTGCTCCCAAACGAAGAACGAAAACGAACTTCGTTTGAAGTATATCGGGGCCTGTACACAGCTGAAATACAAGAATTTTACAGGTAAGGAGCACTTAGTTCTTATTCACTGCTCAAACTTTTCTTTTATTCAGCAAGGACACATTAAACTGATCAAACATGACAGTAAGGACATTTCTGATGTTACAAAAGATTTCTATTTCAAATCAATGCTGTTCTTTTGAACTTTCTATTCATCAAAGAATCCTGAAAAAAGTACCATACATTTAAATTGTAATAATATTTCACAATACTACTGTTTTCACTGTGTTTTTGATCAAATAATTGCAGCCTCGACGGGCATGAGAGACTTATTCCTAAAACATTTATAAAATCTTGCCAAACCCAAACTTTTGAACGGTAGTATATTTCAAATATATTGCAAATTATTTCATATTCAGAAGAGGGAATGTTTCAAATACTGTAAGTATATGCTTTATTATGTCTTTATTAAAACATAACAACTAACTAATGGTGAAGTGTGTAATTTCTGCACCACTAGTGGCACCATACATAATTGCAAAATAATGACAGAATTGTTAAAGGAATGATTTCCTAAAAATAATGACGATTCGTTAATGCAATCGTTCAGGAATGGGAATCATTAAAGCTGATGTGTGTAATTTCTGTGCCATCAGCAACAAAAAATAATGATTGATCTGCCTTGCAGTTGTTCTTTGCAAGGTAAAACATACACTAGATTTTTGCTAAAAATTCTCCCTGGATAAAGGTAGTGATTTATATGGCTGATAGTAGGGATGCACCGATACCGAGCTCCTGTACTCGTACTCGTTAAAATGCCCCGATACCAAACGCCGATACCACACAGCATGTGATAAGTGCCATATTCAGACAAAGAAATACCGACAACAGACAGCAGAATGGGGTTATTAGAGATTAAAGATGTCTACGAAGTATATGTATGCAATAAATATATAAAACATTCAGTATTAATGCCTGTATAGCTGATTTGCGCCAGCTGGTAAGCAAATCACGCTGAGTGGATTGAGCGCGCGGCGGCGCAGATGCGCGAGCTTGTCGAGTGAATATACCTTTCTCACAGACATCACTGGAAAGTTTGTAGTTCGGTCGGATAT